AAAAAAAAGAAAACTAAAAAATCATAGTCACAATCACGCTAATTATCCTCACTGGCTGGCCCCTGAGACAAGTGATGGTAACGACCAAAATCGACAACCATGGTACAGCTCGCTTTGCGACCCGACTCAACTGAACATCGCATACACTACTCTATCCTTCATCTACTCCAGAACTAGATCGGATTGAATCGATGTCTCATCATTAGTCTGCGGTGGAATGATACACTTCATGCGCAACAAGTGCAAAGTGTGGAATCAACGCTCCACAACGGGGACAGGCTACACACGACATGTCCTCGTCCTCATCACTTTCCTCCCAGGCATCACCTCCGGTTTTATACGCATGTCTGTCGAAGCCCACGACTGTTTGAGAACTACTGAAGATCTCGTTAGATGGCAGGCTGGGATCCCTAGCGTATTGCGTACCAGTTTCCGGTGATGGCTGCTCCGTCACCGGAACGGAGAAGTCTGGCCTGCGTCCCCTGTCCTGCTTCTGGAACATCTTCTCGATGTCTCGTCCACTACTCTGCTTACGCTCCCCAGCTGCATCCACCATGTTGGTCACGGCGACGTTCAAGAGACGGATGTTCCAACCAGCCTTTTCGGGATGAAGTTTCCGGAACATCGAGGTCACAAGGTCGTGCACCAGTTGTTCCGCCAGCGCGTCAATACCCGCATCCAGGGAAAATACATACTGGGGCAACGGTGCCGAGCGTGAAATACGGTTGAGGCTGTGAGCTTGTGCCTCGCTGGATGTAGGAGGTGGCCGAGGTCTTGTTGATAGACGGAGAGTCTTTGGACGAGCAATCCATCGCATATTGGGTGTTGTTCGAGAAAGCGAACCTTTCGATCGCGAGTCCGCCGCAGCAGGTTCTTCCTCCGTGAGGTCCGCTCGCATTCGACGTATTAGACTAGCCGTCAGGGAGACCAGCTCTCTTCTAACTTCTTCGAAGGTGCTCAGGCACCCATACGAGTCTTCAATGCTAATCTGGGTCGGTAGGTCCCGAGCCTGGAGAACCTCTGAATTGTCTACACCATGCAATAGGCCCCATACCTTCGTACCAATACCTCTGGGGGACCCTGGACCGCCTAGGATTTTATCTAGAAGCATCGGGCCCATCCTCGGAAACAAACGAACGTCTCGGACCGTGATTGTATCATCCTTCGCCGTATCAGAAACGCCCTGGTTTAAACCCGACTGGGCCGGGCTTTTGAGGTAGGAAGATAATTTTTGAGAAAGTTTAGAACCAATCCCAGGAATTTTTCTTAGGTCATGAGCGTCAAGGAAGTTGAGCACATTGCTCTGAGCGCCTTGCTCCGCCGCAGCATAAGGCGGAAGAAGGGTGGTTTGGTTGTTGGGCTTATAAGTATTACCCACTAATTTGGCGAGGATTTTAGAGGTGGAAATGCCTACTGTGGCAGTGTAGCCCTTTTGTTCTTCCAGTTGCCCACGTAGGTAGGCTGCCAGATGGGAAGCAACTAGTAGTTTAATCTGGAGCGAAGGAGGATCCTTTCCCGCTGAAACAGATGGCCAGGCAGAATCCGGTGCTACGTTAGGAGCCGCAGGGTAAGTCGGGCCATGGAACCCAGTGGCATCAAATGCGAAACCGAGGGTGGGATCCTGACGGTTGAGATGAAAGAACGAGTGTTCTAGATCGTTTCGATTCAAAAGATCCACATTGTATGTAATCATGTCTGTGACATCCAGAAACAACTGTTGTTCTAGTATCAGAGATAAGGCTCCGAGATCCACAAACCGTGGGGACGTGATAGCAACCGAAGAGTAAAATACAGACGAGGAAACCAACCCACCTCATCAAATCCCAATTTTTCCACTTTGCCGCTCCAACAGAAGGCACGGAGGAAGAGGTAGAGACTCTTCGACGCATCGCGAAATTTAGTTAGATCTTCACCGAGGACGATGACCAGCTCTGGACAAATCTGCCTGGCTTCCTTGATCAATTGCAGCTTGCGTAATCCCCTTCTGCGAGCCTCATAGTTGCAGGTCACTACGATCTGCTTCTGTTGGACGGCCAAAGGAAGCGTCTTCAACACCGGTTGCTCAACTTCAAAAACCGAAGCATAGAAACAGTCATAGTCCTGGTATAAGAGAAGCCGATAAATGATTAGTCCCCTGTTCATTCCTTGACTGGTGCTGGGCGGGACTAACAAAGTGGATTATGATTCGGTGATCATCACGGGGCGGTACCACAGCCATTCAGTCAACTGCGAGTGACAGCAAAAGATTTCTGTTGGTGTGGGTGAGTGGAAATAATCATCGTGCAGGATTCATGCCTGATTGATAGGCGTTCAAGGAATGTTCTCCATGTGATCCCGGAGTCTTGATTGGCTTGAAAGAAAAGGCTGGAGGGGTTCGTGGCTGGACTCTTCTTTTTAGGGTCTGTTTTCCCAAGCCAGCCCGGGAGATACATTTCTCCCGTCCCCAGACGGACTAGTCGCGTCTCAGTGCCCCACTTAGCCTCGTGTACCGACAGGGATCTTTTTATAGTACCTCAGCATACCATCCGATGACAATACCTGAATGCTATAAATACCCTTCACGGCTGTTGATTCCCACTCGATTCCGATCGTCTGGACAGAGGGTATAAGTATGCGAAGAAAAGAATCCACCATGATTCAAATCAGACAATCGAACTGGATCAGTGGGATCTTCCAAAATGGATCAGCCACGCGTCCAGACGCAGATTAGACTATGTAATCTTATTTTAAGAAATGAAGAGAAAAATAAATAAATAAAAATAAATAAAAAATAAGAAAAAAAGAAAAGAAACGAAAAAAGTTAAATATGGTTCTAGTCTGTCGACAGCAGCGGATCCTTCCTTCACCTGTTGATACTGTGAATGGGTCCCGACGAGCAACGATTGCTGATGCGGCGTCAATAGTTCTATTTATTATTAGAAGAGTCGTAACGCTGTGTAGTACCGCAACATTATTCTTATACGTCGGTTTTTTT